TTATGTATGTCTGTGAATTCAGTTGATAATCAACCCTTATCTTCATTACTTTCTTTAACTTTTCCCCTGCATTTTGAGCATTTTTTCTTATCTTAACAGTAACATAATCAGTTATATGTTTATTTGGAAAAGAGTTACACAGAGAGTTAATATATATATATATATATATATATATATATATATATATATGTATGTATGTTCTGGTTCTGGTTCATTCATTAGCCTATTAAGAGTAGTTGGCTGCCTTTATTCAGATTGTTGGCACACTACACTAAGATTGCTTTTTAAAAGTTTCTAATGAACTTTGTATTGGTGTGGGATCTCCTTTATTTCCAACAAGGCTGATGCTTCTCTACTCCATTCATATCTGAATGGCTAAGTTAAAAAGCATGGTGAAATCTAATGCTGAAGAGGATCGAGAGCATTCACCTGTGGACACCTAATTTTTGACAAAGAAGCCAAAATTACACAATGGGAAAAATCAACTATCTTTAACAAATGGTACTGGTCAAACTGGATGTCTGCATGCATAAGAATACAAATAGTTCAGTATTTAACATCCTTCACAAACTCAAGTCTAACTGGATTAAAGACATCAACATTAATACAGTTACACTAAACCTGATAGGAAAGAAAGTGGGAAATAGCCTTGAATGCATTATTAGCACAGGACACAGCTTCCTGATTACAACACCAGTAAGACAGACACTAAGATCAACCCTTAATAAATGGAACCTCATGAAACTGAAAAGCTTCTATAAGTCAAAGGATACTGTCAATAAGACAAAATGCTAGTCTGTAGGATGTGAAAAGATCTTCATCAATCCCACATCCAACAGAGAGGACTGATCTCTAAAATATATAAAGAACTCAAGAAACTAAACATGGGAAAACCAAAATCCAATTAAAAATAGGGTACCAATCTAAATAGAAGAATCTCAAATGGCCAAGATATACTTAAAGAAATGTTCAACATCTTATCCATCATGTAAATGTAAATCAAAAACTCTGAGACTCTATATATACCTGCCAGAATGCCTAAGATCAAAACCACAAATAACTGCTTGTGCTAGAGAGGATGTGGAACAAGGGTAATACTCCACTGCTGGTGAGAATCCAAACTTGTATAACCACTTTGGAAATAAATATGGCAGTTTCTTAGAAAATTCTAGGGAATCAATCTACCTCTAGACCCAGCTATGCCACTTTTGGGCATCTACTCATAGGATGCTTAATCTTACTACAAGGACACTTGCTCAACTATGTTTATAGCAGCTTTATTTATAATAGTCAGAACCTGAAAACAACCTAGATACCCCTCAATCAAAGAATGGATAAAGAAAAATGTGGTACATGTGCATTGAAATATTACTCAGCTATTAACAATGGCCTCATGAAATTTTCAGGCAAAAGAATGGAACTAGAAAATATTATCCCGAGTGACATGACCCAGACTCAGAAAGGCAAACATTATATGTACTCACTCATAAGTGGATATTAGCTGAAAAATAAAGGATAACCATCCACAGTCCCAGGAAGGCTAGGAACCCAGGAGGAACCCAGGTGTCTGTGTGTTGTGAGTGTGGTATCCTGAAGGAGACAAAAACCTTTTAAAAAACCTTATAGAAATACACATTTTAGATGCTTCCTAAATAATATAAATATTTAAAAACAATTTAAGCAGAGTTGTTATGTATCAAGGAGGCAATGTCTCTCTCAGACACCATCATTTATTAAAGAAAAGGCCCAGTCCCAGGTAAGGGCTATCTTTTTACAATTTTTGATCAGTAGATCCTATATTTTATTACCAAATCTTGCAAGACATTGCAATTGCTCTTGGATACACTCCAGAACTTGGTGGTAAGAGTATTGCTGAATACATTTGAGTCATAGGACATGAAGAAATTTTGTTAATATGGATCAGTAAGCTCTGCTTCCCCATACATACTACAGGGAAGAAAAGTAGTCATCAATCCTTAAAAATGTGTGAACCCTGTAAGCTCCAAAAAAAAACCCATTCTGTCTTGCAAAATATGCAACCTAATTTACAATAGTGGGATTTTTGTAATATGGATAACCAATGACTTTTTGATCCTGGAATTTCCAGTGTCTTCTGGTCTCTACTGCAACTGAAGCTTCACACTAACCAATGGCATGTTCTAGTCTCAGCAGGGAGCCTCTAAACCTGCCACACAATGTTGAGCCTCAGCAGCTCTCCTTGACCCCTCATGCATTTAAAAGGTACCATGTGAGAGACTTCTTCGAAACATACCATTTAACAAGTTCTGTTGTGAACTCGAAGTACACTCTATGCTCCTCACTTCTGTTTTGCTGACTCCCAGAAGGTTTCACCACAATGATGAATAAACTCCTTGGTTTAAAGTATCATGTGATTGATTAGGCTAACACATCTAGTCACTTTGTCTGAAGGCCCTTGTTTGAAAACTTCATTCTACCTACAAAATTTCTTCACAGAATACTAAGATTATTGTTTGACTAGACTATGTATTTCCCAGAGACTGGGATTCTTGATGAGCTATCTTGCAATCCTGCTTACTACAAGGGTTTGGGCTTTGTTTTGAATGCAGCTCTGAGTTTGTTGTAGATTCTTCTGTGTTTATACCGCTTGCAGTACACTGAGATACTGTAGTGTGGGTTTGTGTCTTCTGTCAGTTTGGAACTAAGTCTTGTTCAATGTCTCCCAGCTCCTTCCTCTCTTGTGTTTGCATGAACCATGAATGAAGAACAATGGACAAAAGCATGTCTTTTATGTCTTGTTACCTTTTCCCTTTATTTTTTCTCTGATTCACTTGATATAAGTTATATTGGCATTCCCTTCATGCCTTCATGCTTATGTTTTTACTAAAACCTCTGAAAAAAACCCTTCATTTCATTGTTTCATTATATTATTTCCTATTACACAAAAATGGGATGCCAGAAGCCAGTTAAAACCTTCTTATTTTTTCTTTCTTACTGATTATAAATTCCATTTCTGAAAATGTGAGGGTAAATGGTGGTTACATGCCTGGATGGGAGGGAAGATAATGCTTGACAAATTCCATGCGAGTTCTATGCAGCTCAGAAGAGAGAGGGAGGGAGAACGCATAAATACACCCTAATATTTTCATAGTAGATTGGTGTTTCCAGGGTGCACGTATGGGATTGTTTCTGTCCATTTGTTTTAAGCCTCCTTAACCTTCTTCCATCCATATGGTTCTATTTCCCCAAATGTTTTTTTTCTTACATTTTTATTAGTTCAAATTAGGAACAAGCTTGCCTTACATGTCAATCCTGTCTCCCTCTCCCTCTCATCTCCCTAACCCTCCCTCCAATCCCCCAACTGCCCCGCACCCCTCCACCCTCCAATCCCCAGGCAGGGTAGGGCCCTTGATGGTGGTTCCCCAGAGTCCACCACATTATCCTGGGCCGGGCCTATGCCCTCCCCCATGTGTCCAGGCCAAGAGTGCATCCTTTCACGTGATATGGGCTCTCAAAATCCTTCTTACACCAGGGAAAATACTAATCCACTACCAGGGGCCCTCTAGAGTGTGGACGCCTCCTCATTGAAATCCATGTTCATGGGTCTGGATCAGTCCTGTGCTGGCCTCCCAGACAGGGGTCTGGGGTCAATGTGCTCCCCCTGGATCAAGCCAGCTGTTTCTGTGACTTTCACCAGCTTGGTCCCAACCACTTCGATCTTCATTTCTCCCTCTCTGCAACTAAGTTCCAGAGTTCAGTTCAGTGTATATAGATGGATGTCTGCCTCTGCTTCCATCAGCCACTGGATGAGGGCCCTAGGATGGCATTAAAAAGTAGTCATCAGACTCATTATAGGGGAAGGGTGTTTAGGTTATCCTCTCCACCATTGCCTAGATTGTCAGTTCATGTCATCCTTGTAGATCTCTGGAAATCTCCCTAGTGCCAGATCTCTCCTCGGACCTATAATGGCTCCCTGAGATATGATATCTCTCATCCTGCTCTCCTCTATTCTTCCCCCAACTCAATATTTCTGCTCCTCCGTTTCCTCCTCTCCCCTCCTCTTCTCCTCTCATTCTGACCCAATTTTTTTTTTCAGAATGGATGGCTTTTTACCGACATTCTGGTATTTAGATAGGTATCAAAGCAGGCTTGGGTTAAGATTGTGACATGAAACAATTAAGAATGCCAGAAACAATTTCTGCCAACAAGTTATGGAGGAAGGTGTGAGAGCCCTCATCTTAGGAAATTGTTCTATGGCAGAACTAGTAGAATATGGATAACAGAGGAATTTTCATAATGGAACAGACAAATGCCAAGTTATGTTCAATTCTAAAATCTTTCATCTAATCTGAGTATTATTGGGACTATCAGGAAGCAACTAATGTTTGCCCAATCAACATATAGATTTTCTATGATCATATAAGTAACTATATGAATCTTCAAATTTTAGGTTTAATAGATGGTGGCACGCATACATATTTAAGCATTTGATGAATTGTTTCATAACTTGGAAAGAATAGCAATTTCATTTCTAATTGCATTTACAGTTCACTGACAGAGTAATTTGAAATTTCTCATAACTTGTGGTGTAGGCGTTAGCCTTAAGGTTGATCAAATGTTACCTAATATCTTGCTTTTACACTGTTGTCACTATTCTTTGTAGAATGGTAAGAGAACAAATGGATCTCTTCATCCTTTTTTAAAAAAATCATACTCTAGTTAGGGTCCTAAATGCTTCTGCCTTTCTGGTGTTATATAGTTGGAAGAGCCCACTACTCTCATATGTTTTTGCCATTACTGCACACTTTATTAGACTGTAGTAAATTCTGTTCCACAAAGCTGTGCAGTTGCATAACCGGTTTTGACTGTGGCTTGATCTTAGAACTGAATCTCAAGTCATAGTTGCTAAAACCAACATTTTGCCTTAAACAGCTCACCTTGCACCTTTGCCTTACTGCTCCGCAGTCTATATATGAGATGCTGTTGACTATCACCACACTTAAGTTTGGTAAAGATTTATCATGGGGTATAAAACTCTGTGCTTTGGATTCTCTTGTGTTCTATTGGCTTATTTTGTTTATTCACCTGTTCCAGAGAACATTGAAGAACCCTGGAAAGTGAGATTCATGGATGCTCTCATAAAAGTGACTTCACTTGTGGTAATATATATTTTTTTACTAGTGATTTGGGATGCCATGCTATAAGTACATTTGAAACTTGTTTTATTTCAAAGGGTTTGAAAGAGACTCCAGTGTTATCTATGATATATAAACCAGATCATTTTGATGTTTATTTAATCACTAATATGCTTAACAAATTTTCTACAAACAGAGGGACACACAGTGTTTTCTAACACACTGAATGATGTGAAATATAAACATCAGAATAGAAAGAGCAGTATTGTCTGAAGGCAGTATTTGGAAATTGTTAGGAAACTTGGATATTCTTGATGCTTTTGACAGTATCTAGACTCATATGCTCTCTGGAATCTCACATATTACCTCCATCAAGTTTAAAAATTTTGGTGAATTTTAATCACTATACTTTTAGTTATTTTCTCCTTTAATGTAACTCTCAAACTTTCTGTTCACAGCTTTGTGAGGCCTCCAAATAAATTTTGATTTGGGTTTATTTGTCAAAATAAACTACCTTAGCAGTTTCCCTATGATGATAATGATGCTGTCATTGTATGTTAATACAGCTAATATATTTCAGTTAGATGAAATGTGTGTTTAAGTAACATACAGAAATAATAGTGACATTTATTATATTTTATCAGATCTTTTTAACTACATCTGTGTGGAACAGTTGACTCTGCTGCCTGGGTTTGCAGTAGTCTGTTGTGATACCTCATTTGTAATACCTGATGGAAGGCTACACTGTGTACTCATGAATAGAGATGGTTGGCACACTTCTTGACATGTCTCAGACACCCACAGCAACTCAAAAGCCACCTCTTGTGATATGCTGCTGTATTATCTTTCCTGAGTTCTAAGTTTCTGGAAATCAGACCTTCTTTCTTTTTTTTTCTTTTTTGCAGTGATATAACATATACACAAGAAGACTACCTCTGTCCACCACAAAGGACACACTAGTTTACAATTAACACAGCCATGCTTCTGTCTGGAAGCCTTATGGATACAAAGATACTAGGAAGCTTAGGCAGAAGACAGGAGAAAATAAGGGATTCCAGTGAATGAGGCAGATGAGGAAAATTCTACCTAATGCATCTGGACACCCACCATATTTTAGTTTCAGAATTCAACATTTACTTAGTCATCCTGGAGCCATTTTCTTTCTCTACTAAGCCATGTTTCACTTTGTTTACTGGACAGTATGAGAAGAGGTGCATGAGCCAATGCCTGTAAGTAGAGAAACTGCTACATCTTCTCTGAGGCTCTCATGAGCATATGGACTTCACAACTGACACCTTGTCATTGATAAGAATGTATTCTAAAAACATGCAGTTGTTGAACTTGAATTTTATTCTTTCAAGTTTCAAAATAGAATGACACATGCGAAGTATATATACATATATATTTTTACATATATATACATATATATACACCTTTCTTATATATGTAATATAGGAACAAAATATGATTCTTTAAATGGACATCCTAGTGATTGAGAATAACCCACTGGATTTCAAACAATATGTACTTGTCCTTTCCTCATCTGCCTCATTCACTGGAATCCCTTATTTTCTCCTGTCTTCTGCCTAAGCTTCCTAGTATCTTTGTATCCATAAGGCTTCCAGACAGAAGCATGGCTGTGTTAATTGTAAACTAGTGTGTCCTTTGTGGTGGACAGAGGTAGTCTTCTTGTGTATAAGTTATATCACTGCCAAAAAGAAAAAAAAAAGAAAGAAGGTCTGATTTCCAGAAACTTAGAACTCAGGAAAGTTGAATTATAATAGCTCACTTTCCATAAAAGTGTATTTTAATATATTTTATGAAATAAATTTAACAGACTTGATAAAATGATGTAAAAATATTAAGTACTCATCTTTAATCCACTCAAATTATATAAAGTATAAGGTAGGCAAGAGCACATCAACTTTAATTTTGTTTTACTTTTTATTTTTGAGTTTGTAATGTAATCACATTTCTCTTCTCACTTTCCTACCTACATGGCCTCCAATATACCATTCCGTGTTCTCTTTCACATTCATATTTTATATTCATATTAATTATTGTGGCATATATATGTGTATTTTACATACATATATTCTTGAATAGAACATGTTCAACCTGAATAATGATACTTGTATGCATGCTTCAGGACTGACCATTTGGTATTGGATAAGCAAATCATGTGGTCTTTGCTTCAGAAGACCACCTCTCCGGCTGTCAGCCTTCCTCAGTTGCCAATAGATTTCTCTCTCTCTCTCTCTCTCTCTCTCTCTCTCTCTCTCTCTCTCTCTCTCTCTCTCTGTGTGTGTGTGTGTGTGTGTGTGTGTGTGTGTGTGTGCAGTTGAGGCCTTATGAGCTTTAGCCTGTCTACATTGGCATGTTTGTCTATTGGAGCTATTCTTGTTGGGCAGACATGCTGGAGAGACACTTTATTGGTGAAGATTCTGGCATAACTAGGATAGACAATCGCACAGTAAATCCTCTGACTTTTTGTCTCTTAAAATCTTTCCACCTTCTCTTCCTCAATGCTCCTTGGTCTTTCTTAGATATGGGGGTGTTTTGTAGATGCACCTAATGGGAATGAGCTCCACACCTCTTCATTTTGTTTTGTTGTGGAAAGAGAAGTTTCCTTGATGAGATGTGAAGACTATACTTATCTGTGAATATAAGGACAGATGTTTGGACTGTTGGTAGGAATTTACTGGCTAGGTTGATTCTCTTCCAAGATTCATAACTTCACTTCACTTGCAAGATTCATACTGAGGGGTTAGCTAGGTTTCCAGTGCCACCCAAGCTTCCCTGTTTTTGAGTGAATACAAGTAAAGAGACAGAGAGTTATTGGTTACTGCTAAGGCATGTGTGCCACTACTACTCTTAGTGTCATTATGCCATGCTGGTTGTTGATGTGGTTCATAGGAATCATATGTAGGTATGACTCTTCTTTGCTTCCCTCATTTGGAACCTGGTGTGCTGCCTTCTGATACGATGAAAGCTAGTTCTCAGGAAGAGGACATTCAGGTCAGTTCCAGTTCATGACTCTCTGGTCTCTGTTTCTTATATTCATGATATCTTCAGCAACAGGATCTTACTTTCCACCTCTTAGCAGTAATAAAGACAATGGTGATAGGATGAATGTTTGGTAGTCTCTTGGACCACTGTGTCCAACAATTCAAAGGAGAGCATCTTATGTCTTACCTGGGGTTTGGGTTATGTAGTCTTTAATTCTTAAAGGAATCACTGACATCCCAGATGAAAAATGTTCATTAAAATTTCACATGTATACTTATACACAGAATTATATGCATTATAGTTTTCTGTATAGTTAATAGTATTATTCGTGGTAGCCTTTTCAGATATCTTTATTGCTGTTTTATCTACATCCCTATTTCTTTTGTATTTCCCTCCCTCTTTTCCCATTTCCCCTATCACGTGTACCCTGCTATTTCCCTCCTTGCCTTTTCTGTGTTTACTTCTCTGAACCACATAAGTATCAAATGAGGGTAGATCTTAAATAGTTTGGTTAATTAAGTTTGTTTCTTTTTTCTCAATGGTAAAATGAATAACTACACTGTAGCATTGGCACTAAGTATCTAAGAAAGTATATGTTTTTTAAAATTTTTAATTTCAATTAGAAAGAAAATTGTTATATATGTCAATCCTAGGTCCCTTGCCTCCTCCTCTGCCCCCCTCACAACTAACACCCTACCTATCCAATACCCTTTCTGATCCCCAGGGAGGGTGAGGCCTTCCATACGGGGTCTTCAAAGTCTTTCATATTTTTTAGGATGGGTCCTAGGCCAACCCCCTTGTGTCTAGGCTCAGGGAATATCCCTTCATGTCGGATGGGCTCCCAAAGTCCATTCCTATGCTAGGAATAAGTATAGATCCACTACAAAGATCCCATAGATTTCCAAGGTCTCCTCAGTGACACCCACATTCAGGGGGTCTGGTTCAGTCCCATGCTAGTTTCCATGGCATCAGTCTGGGGACCAAGAGCTTTCCCTTGTTCAGGTCAGCTGTTTCTGTGGGTTTCACCAGCCTAGTGTGGACCCCTTTGCTCATCAGTCCTCCTTCTCTGCAACAGGATTCCAGTTCAGGTCAAGGTTTAGCTGTGGGTGTCTTCTTCTACTTCTATCAGCTTCTGGATGAAGGCTATATGATGGCATATGAATTAGCCATCAATCTCATTATCAGGAGAGGGCATTTAAGGTAGCCTCTCCTCTGTTGCTTACAATGTGTCATCTTTGTAGCTCTCCAGACATTTCACTAGTACCTGATTTCTCTTTAAACCTATAAGGTCTCTCTCTATTATATTATCTCTTATCTTGTTCTCTTCTGTTCTTTCTCCAACTCAACATCCCTGCCCCAACATGTCTTCCTCACCCCTCCTTTTCTCCCCTTCTCATTCTCCTAGTTCCCTCTCCCCTCCCCCATGCTCCCAATTTGCTCAGAAGATCTTGTCCTTTTCCCCTTCTCCAGGGGACCATGTATGTTTCTCTTAGAATCCTCCTTGTTTACTAGCTTCTCTGGTAGTGTGGATTGTAGGCTGGTAATTCTTTACTCTATGTCTAAAATCCATATATGAGTGAGTACATACCCTGTTTGTCTTTTTGTGACTGGGTTACCTTGCTCAGAATGGTTTCTTTTAGTTCCATCCATTTGACTGCCAATTTCAAGATTGTTGTTTTTCTCTGCTGTGTAGTACTCCGTTGTGTAAATTACCACATTTTCTCTATCCGTTCTTCAGTTAGGGGTATCTAGGTTGTTTCCAGGTTCTGGCTATTACAAATAATGCTGTGATGAACACTGTTGAACAGATGTCCTTGTTGTATGAATGAGATTCTTTTGAGTATATGCCTAAGAGTGGAATTGATGGATCTTGTGGTAGACTGATTCCGATTTTCCTGAGGAGTCGCCATACTGATTTCCAAAGTGGCTGTACAAGTTGGCACTCCCACCAGCAGTGGAGGAGTGTTCCCCTTTCTTCACATCCTCTCCAGCATAAACTGTCATTGGTGTTTTTG